TTTGATTATATTGTTGTAATAGCAAAGAACTACTCTTTAATCTTTTTTATTTGTCTTAAAAATTAAGGCTCTCTGCTGCTTCCGATTCCGTGTCTCCCTCTCTCTCTGCCCCTCCGCCGTTCATGCTCTGTCTCTGTCTCAAAAATAAATAAACGTTAAAAAAATTTTTTTTTAATTAAGGCTCTCCTTAAATCACATTTTCCTTTTTTTTTTGAAAAGAGATTTTCTTGGAATGTGACAGTATTTTTTATAAAATGCAAATTCTCATGAATTTCTAACATTATTTCATCTTTTAAAAGTTTCCTGATGTGGTTTGTCTAACCTATGGAACTCATTTCTTTCGTGCATATATATATTCTCATCTTGAACAATAGTGTCAGAACCCTAGTATATTTTCATGATACATTAATGATATGAAAATGTGTGATAATTAATTTTTTTTAATTTTTACTTATTTTTGAGAGAGAAAGAGAGAATGTGAGTGGGGGAAGGTAAAGAGAGAGAGGGAGACAGAATCTGAAGCAGGCTCCAGGCTCTGAGTGGTCCGCACAGAGCCTGATAGAAAATTCATAGTAATTGTTTCAAAATTGTCTTATTTCTATAGAGCTAAAAACTTTGAAAATTATAGAAAGTGTATGGGAAAAATATTAACATTTCTTGGTTCCACTATTCAGAAATAACAACCACTGATATCTGATTTATTTCCATTTATGTTTTTAAATAAGTGTGTCATTAGGTATATCATAAATATTTAGCTGAATTTTCCCACATCATTATATATTCTTTAAAAAAAATCATTCATTTATCTGTTCTTCTTTGGTTAGCATTTATATAAATTGAAATTTTAATTGCTATAAATAATGTCTTGTTAAACATATTTTTGTCCATTTGCTGTCTTCTTAGTATAGATTTTGTGCATATGTGTATCCAATCAACATCTTGAATTGGGGCAATCTTTTGTTTAATTGTTAAGTGTTGAATTCTGGTTTTTAGTTGGTTCTTTAGGTTACAAAACAAAGAAAACTTCTCATAATACTCTATGTAAAGGCAGTTTATTATACGTATACTAATAGCACAATAGGGAGACTCTCCAGGACACACAAGAACAGGAACTGTAATTGGCCAAGCCTTGCATGATTAGAGCTGTAAAAGGCTTGGCATCTGAGCAGCTCTGTAGGGCCTCTGAGCAGATGCTCATGCTTTTTCCTTTCAGTGCTGGATTAACCCGACCTAGCAACCTTCTGAGTCTGCTACTTTCTGTGAACAGAATGCTGTGCGTACACATAACAGAAAACTCATATGGAAGTTTCCTAAATAACAAAAATCTCCAATTACTTCATGTAACTAGATGTTTAAGAAAGTTGATTCTAGACTTACTAGCAAAAGCGTACCAAAGGACTTGGATAGGAAGTGAAGATATGTGAGGAATATCACTAACATTGTTTAGAATTGTCAGTACAGGGTAATAATTAAAAAGTGGACTAATATTTAATGTATCTCATTATTGTTTTAAAATTCTTTATAGATAATGCACTCCATTATATTCTATACCCAGGGTGAACTGTTCCTAGTTGGCTGCTCTTTGGATGCCCTAGTTGGTAGTGGTTTAGGTTATTAATGACCTATGTAGACATCTCTGTATTCTACTGACTTTCCATTATGGTTGCATCTCAAAGCATTATACGTACCACCTAAGGTAGGAAGGCAAGCTTGTTGGCTTCAGGTTATCAGGAGGAAATCCTTCTTGGGTGATTCCATCAGACTTTGTCTTACTTGTCATAGGTCAAAACTTGTTCCTGAATCTATCTCTGGACAAATTGCTGGCAAAAGGAAATGGGATTTCCATGATGGGCTTGGAGTGGTGATTAATGGTTAATAACTGACCAAGGGCCAGAGGAAATGGTAGTCCTAATTTGTAGAACTTCCTGATTTCTGTGGCATAAATACTCTCATGTTGACAGGTGTCAAGCTACTGATGTGATGTCACTGAACTCTGAGTTAGGAAGAGATTTTATAAAAACAGGTCTTGTGAGCTGGTGTAAACATATCCTAGCAAACTGCTGGGCTTAGAACAGTCATAATTCAACCTTTCTGACTAATGACTTACCATATGAACCAGATCCAGGGTTTTATGAACAGAAAAGAAGAAAACATGGCTGTTGACTAGAGACATATGTTTACCCTAAGCACTCAGTGACATCCACTCCTTTCTCAGGTCTCTGTGCTTTCATAAACTTACCTTGTATTAGTTTAGCATGAGCCCCATTGATGACTCTCATTACATCGTAACTTTCAACATCCATTACCACAGATAATAGCATCTTTTCTCTGAATATCCCTAGTCGAATAAATAAGAATCTAGCTGGCTTTATACATCTTTTTTTAGTATGTGGCTAGAAGTCCTAAGTCTAAGATCCCAGGGCAACCAATGGATGGGTAATCATGGTTCAAATAGCTGTGATGGTGGCTGTCTCAATCTGGCAGCTTTTGTGTGGAGCTGATTTTCTTAGAAAAAGTTGCAGATGTGATTAGCAGTGAAATACTTCTCTGCTGGTACTTTATAATAATCTTTCAGAATATGCTGTTTGTACTAACAGACTTCTGATTCCTGTTTGCCAGGTAGACCAACTGAGAAGTTGGTTCATATTTGTGAATTATCTAGAGAATATTATATTTTCAAAATTTTTATAAATATTTCATCCTTTTCCTGGGCTTTCTTTCAGTAGTTAACAGCAATACTCAATTCTTTTTTTTTTTTTTTTCTAAGAATAAATAATAGAGGCCCTGAAAAGATCCCCATTGTCTCCTAGTCAGTTATGAAAATTTGGAGATTCTTAGAACATCAGCTCTCCATATTAAAATATAAACAAAACTTAAAACCTAAAATTGGTGTGAAAGGATTCTTGGAGTTTAAACTATCATTTTATTGTCATTAGCAAAGGTAGAGATCACATCACTAAAATGTCTTATATAATGTTTTAGAATAATTAAATAATCCAATATTGACTAATAGCTCTTAAAATAATAGCAAATGTCTTTTAACTATTGCACTTCCAAATATAGAAATATCATTGATGATTTTTAAGTTGTATGTTTATATCATCACCAAATTTCTCTTGATGCATAGAAGTCAAAGTACCACTTTTTAGAAGCTATTTTTGGATTCTTTTGTTTCCAGCTATACACAGAAAACTCTTAACATAAGTACAATCAGTTCTTTCTTGAAAATCATAAGGAATATAGCCACCTTGTCAATTTATAATTTATTATATATTTAAAATTTTTGTGTGTAAAATTAAAATGAAACAGTGAACAAAAACCCACCTGTAAAATCAGAAGGGTGTTTGGCAGGCTAAGTTCTCTGACATTCAGTTGTCCAAAAGAGGCCCTTTTTAGTTAATGTTATTTATATAAAAACTTCCAGTGTCTTGCAAGTAATTAGAAAAAGTTCTTAAATGCATAGATTTTCAAACGTTTTGTCCCATCACTTACCATAAGAATTATTTCCA